TGCTACATGTATTTGGGACGCTACGTGTAATCAAGCGAGTTTTGATAGTACATCACCTGTAGCTCCGTACGTATACGACGTTCTATCCCCATAAATATATCGGTACTGAAATGTTGCATCTGGCACCTACGTTAAGAAAAAAATAACGGAAATAGGTATTTTTGTGATTAAATGGTTGGCCATTTAAATTATTCAACGGTGAGCTTATACCTTTTCTGTTTTCGTCGAAAGATTTGCAATTGACTAATACGAAATTTGATGTGATGGCTGTGCGAGTAAGTTTTACATCCTGGACGATGCTTCATGGGTAAAAATCACTGCGAATTTGCTAGGAAGTAAGAACGCTATTCCGTAAATTGATGCCCTCGCGAGCGGTGTACTGTCTAGTTCCTTCAAAACTGCACCGAGTCCAGACTGTCGTTGCAAGAATTACAATGACTGCAAGAGGCGCGATTGGTTTCTTGAGGAATTAAAATGAGACTAGTGAAAATAAACCAGATAATTTCTGGAAAGTAAGTGCCAAGGAACACCGAGGTGTGACCAAACCGTTTCGAAACTGGAGTGTCATGCGGTGTATCTAGCGTGGTCTGTCACTTCGTAGTTCTGAGGCAATGCATAGCTGTTCATGTTCAGGCATGTTTTAATCGGCTCGCTAAACGCCATGTTTTAACGTATATTTTGTCAAATCGAAATCGATCTTAAACTAATTACCAACAAAGCTGTTTATAAAAAATAACGCTCGTGCGAGCTTTGTTAGAATTGTTCTTATGCTCTTCTATTTTTGTGTCGGAATGAGCGGCGTCGGTACGCCTAACTAATTTGTCGTTCAGCATAATACGTTAATTAAAGCGGACAAACAAAATTCCAACGCTTGCAGAAGCGTTATATCAATGAATAGCTTCGTAGGTTATAGAGTCAATATAGAATTCTTTCTAAGTTATGCGTGGTAAACGTGCTAAAAAAATTGGTCCCATCAGTGTCGATGCGGTGCACTCTCCCACGGAAAGGAATATGAACGTAAAGTGTGAAAAATTGGCAAAGATGGCCTCGGCAATCGCCCTATGTCGGAAAAACGGAACTTTAGGCTTTGTAATAAATTTATCAGCTTAGGCAAATGCTGAATGTCTTCTGATTGAAACTTCCCTAACTTAGAGGTATAAAGCTTACGATTAGCTGTTGCTTTCAGCGTTGCCAGATGGTATATTTCTATACCAGATTTCACAAATCTGGTATTTTCAGAAGGTGTCTGGTATGAGTATTTTAGGTCTGGTATATTTGCCTAAATCTGGTATTTTTCTGGTATTTTCTGACTTACTGCAAATATACTGCATTAATTAAGTTCCACCTCAGAAGTTTGAACTACCTCCAGCGTAGGCGTTGATTATCTAGATTACCTTCAGAGCAGCGCGGCTAAAGGTTTCCCGCCATTTTTTGGAACCGCAAGTTTACCGCCTGATGAAATAACCCTAACCTAATTGTTAACATTTAATAAATGTGCTTAGTGCAATATAAGCACGAGAGTGATGATCCTTGATTGATTACTGATCAGTGATGATATAGCCTAGGACGAGTGTGGATGTCGAACCTATCTCTGTGTCCTGTGATGCAAGCTCCACCATTTTTGTTTGGTGCTTTTGAATTGTAGAGTGCCACTTATTGGAGTGCCACTTGGATTCTGGGGTGATATACAACATTTCACTGATCTTGAAAATCATCAGCCATTCATGGAACTGGCTGCCTACTGCATCACTTGTCTACTTTGACCTGTCTCCAATGCATTCGTGGAGCGAGTGTTTTCACAAGACACTTGTGAAAAACAAGCAACGGAATAAAATTTCAACTATGGTACTGGAGTCTCTTATTCGGACCAAAAACTATCTGTTCGGCCACAACAAGTGATCAAACCCGAAATATTAGATTATTGCAATAAGCAATCATGTACGAAAATAAGCAAGAGGAAGATGACCTGTTTCCGTGGCTTGCTCAGGTTGAGCGAAGGGGAAGAAATGCCACACTGTGATAAAAAACGGAAACAGTGTCAATGTAATCAAACACAGTTAAAGAAAAGTGTCAAAATGTTCCAAAGAGAGGGAAAAATATAACGTGTTCAATTTGGCTAATTATCATCAAGCCAGATAAATGCACAGTACATAAGATAATTTTCTTTTTTTAACCAACGTTTCTGACGGATAGTTTCATTAAATTTGGAGGTATTAGTCTTTTTTAACAATAGAATTTCTGGTATATTTCTGGTATTTTGGGCTAGGCAATCTGGTATTCTCGCCAAGAAAAAACCTGGCAACACTGGTTGCTTTTTCATCTCGCTGCAGAGAAGCAAGAGTGCGAGGCAAACTTCATTACTATACTTCGAGTTTTCCGTCACACAGTACCGTCGTGACATCACCTTTGAGCCTTGCAGTCCAGCCGACTACTATTTTTCCTCTCCGCGAAACAACTTGTCAAGTTTGGTCTTTAAAAGGATTATTTTGACCAATTAATGAAATTTGTCGTTGAGTTGTTTTAGCAATGGAATAACGGACGGGCTCCTGGTCTTTGTTTTTTAATTAGTTTTCGAACTGTTGAGTGTCGACCTTACGGCTTTTGCAAAACTGAAAGGTTTATGGTTAATCGTTAATGGAAATGGGTTAAACTTAAACTAAAGTCAGCCCACTCTTCAAATGTAAGAGTGACTGAGTGGGCCCGGCAGTGGGGCTTAGCTGGCGGCCTCTAAGCTTGGTTCAACCAGCCTCAGTTGATGTATTATTGAGTGATATTCAGGCTTCAGGTCCTTCACTGAAGGACCTGAACCTGTGTGTGGTCCTGTGGTCCGCCTGTGAAGGTCCTTCAGGCGGACCTGAAGGGCTTCAGGTCCGCCTGAAGGACCTTCAGGCTAAGCGAGTTGTAGCCACATGATTACATCCTGCTGAAACCACACATCTCCCAATAACAAATCCCAATGCTTCATTTTCAACAATGTTTTCTATCCTGGGCCCATAGTGACAAACCAGAGATTTTTTAGAATCAGTTCATTTTTAATTTCCTCATTTACCCAAGATTTAAACCAATTTCTTATGTATGATGATGCTGGTATGTGGTAGGTATCTAGGATACTTTACTGATCTACTTATAGGACTCAAATAGTCAAATACGAACTTGAGGGAGAGTCTAAAAAACTCTCTGCTTTACCACTATGCAGGCTGGGCCTGCAAGGAATTTTGCCACACTCAGGATGATGTATGTTTTCAGTGAATTTTCCTGCGCATTTTCACTTTTTTTAAGCTATTGCTGTGCACAGTTGGCGCAATGTAATGAAAATTGATTATCTTTGCGCACATGTTCGCGCAATCCCGGCCATCTTTATTTTAGAAGAAATTTTCTCCAAAGTCATATGGCAACACTGAACACCGTCTGTTTACATTTCTTATGTATAACAGCCGCAGTTTACGATTACCGTACGTTCCGTATCTGACAAGGCGGACAACCGGAAGAGTCAGAAGTAACCCGGACATGTCTTACATTTTATTATTGTCAGTTCGACTCGCGTAGTCAATATACTCGCGTATATTGTCGACTAAAATAGTAGAACTATTTTAGCTTTCTAAAGTACGGCGCACGGCGCATTTTTTTACCAATGTAGTATGGCGCACCGCGCAGGTCGTTAAAATGACAGAATAAATTCCCGCGCACCTGGCACATCTTCCTGACCATGGGAATTTTGCAACATTGCAACAGAGCATTTCGGAATTCACTGTCAGTGTCACAGTTATTCCCTCCTCCCACTCCCAGTCCTCCAAGAACGACTGCACCAGTGTCAGTGTGATGCAGCTAACACGGTAACGCCTAACGGACACCATCTTGGCATCTTCCTCAACTTCCTGATATTGTTTTCAAAACAGAAGTACCTATCTTGAATGGTATATTATGTTATCCTCAAGGAAAAAAAACTTTTTTCTTTATGTACCTTGCTTACTCTTTTATTTTGCCTCAAAACTGCTTGATAAGTTGATCGGTTCAGCCCCACCCTGCATTATGCATACTGCATAGCATATTGAGAGGTTGCGATTCAGAGATTGTACCTATAGACCTTTTAAGCAATTAGGTAGAACTTCGTAGAAGAGAGACTTTCCACCCTAATATGAGGGTGGAAAATCTTTGACATATTTAAATCAACCTTTAAATAAAATATGTCAATTTTAAACTAGAAACAAAAAATTACAATTATAAAAGTTATAAAACTTTATATAAAATAATTAAATGCAGTGAATGGAAATAAAATGTTTGAATTGTGCAGATGTTTATTTCAAACAGTTTTAGCTTTTATCATAACATTACTCTTGTTTCAAGTTGTTTGAGGTTTGTTTGCCGTTTGGTTATCGTTCGGTTTATGTTTAGTATTGTTTTTTTTTTTCTAAATCAAATGGGAACGGTGCAGTCACTAGTCAGTCACTCCGTCACTACTAGTTGGTGTGTTTAGAAGGTAGAGTCTGGTAGATTTATAGGACATAAAACTAGTAGATCTATTAAATAGTGTTGTGCACTGTGCTACCTATCTGTCATGTGACTCTTCAATGTTTAGAAGATCCACATTCCTGAAGTGTTTTTGTATATTGAAGCCAGTTAAATGATCAATATTTAGCTTGTTACCTTGCTCCATACAAACTTTACAAAGCTAATGAATAGACTTATCAATAATTGTTTATCCAAAAATCCCAAAGTGGTAAACACCACCTTGGCCATTATTGAAGGCAATTAGTGCCCTTTTATTAGTTTATAGCCATCCATTTTGATCCATATAGGTACTGTTACTGTCTGTTAGTGTTATTGTTAGTAGGCTAATTGCAACATAAAAAAAAACATTTCAAAAAGACAAAAAAGCTGAAATTTTTTTGAAAAAATCATGGAAAAATAAAAAAAATCACTTATTTTTTATTTTATTTATTTTTTTTAATAAAAAATCACCAACCCTGAGTGTTTTTGAGCTGATTGGTAACTTTTTTTTCAGGTCAATACTAGAAATTTTCATAAAATAATCTGCAGAAAAAAATGACCAAAATTCCAGCACCCTTACCTTTGTGAAGTATAATTATTCTTTAGACTCTGTATTAGTTAGCTTGAGAATTGAGATCTTCAAACATTTACCAGCATATAATAATCAAAGAAGCAATTATCAATGAGTTCATTGATTCTAAAATGCAGATGCAGTTTATTATGGAAACGAAGCAAGTTGCAAAATGGGTTACAGAGGCTACAGTCAACAATGGTAATTGTACATTTTGCTCCGTCTATTTACTCTATTACTTGTACAATTACGTCTATTACTTTTGCTCCGTCTATTACTTATTAATTTTTTTTGCTCCGTCTATTACTTGTAAATTTAGGTTTTTAATTTTGTTCTGTGCTTTCAATGTATTAATTTGTGACTTCTGATTTGTGATTCTAGATTCTACGAACTGACGATGGAGCTGGTCTCCGAAACGTTTTCTATAAAGATATGAATTTTTGTGGACTTATCTTTGCTTTTAAATTCTTGGTTAATTTGCGATTTAAGCAAACAAGTGATATATATTCATGGTAATTGTAGTTATAAGCTATTAATAACATTTGTTCCCCTATACTGTAATGTCTTAATTAATATTATAATTTGAAAATAATCTGAGCTATTTTCTGTTCATGTGTGTCCAAGTATTCATTTATATATGATTGTAATTTTTTCACTTAGAAAGCCTCAAGTTAGCTGCACAAGTAGGATTAGGTTTCACTACAGGAAAAAATACCTTGAAGAAATTACATCATTGCAGCATAATTTTGCACTGACTTCTTTCATTTTGCCAGAAACTAAAAGCTGTTTGAGAACTTTTCTTTTAGTAGGTTTGGAGATAGTGGGTTTAGAACCTGGCTACTAAGGGGAAAGAAATTTAATTTCTAGCCAATGCCAAGTCAATTGATTATCATAAACATTGTGTTCAACTTTGCTGGCCATGGTTTTTAATCTTAACTTCCTGTTAGCCAGAAAAATCTTTCAATAAGATGACAGCTTAGAGATTTCAAATTTACAATAATACAGCCAAAGTATGTTAAGTTTTTATGATTAGATGTACAATTAGCTTCCTGTTAGCCAGAAAAATCTTTCAATAAGATGACAGCTTAGAGATTTCAAATTTACAATAATACAGCCAAAGTATGTTAAGTTTTTATGATTAGATGTACAATGATTAACAGCTTGATATTTTTACAGGCCGTGCTGGGCATAGAGACGAGTTGTGATGACACGGGTGCCGCTGTTATTGATGGCACCAACACGGTGCTCGGAGAAGCTATTCACCAGCAAACTCGAGAACACATGCTGTTAGTGTCTCTGGTGATGGGTGAGGCAGCCTCCTGCAAATTAACCTTATCTAAAAATCAGATCTTCACACTAACTTGATACCTTTGAATTATCATATTTAGATTGTTCAATTTTTATTTGTGTTTATTTTATGACAAGAGGGAATTCTGTGGAATTCATTTAAAATTGTTGGTTGGTAATCTAAAACCATACTAATGATTCACAATATCTTAAATATCTTATCTTAATACTAATGATTCACAATATTCTTAAACTGATACTAATGATTTTAGCAATAAATGGTATTACTTTTTTTCATCATTGCAATGTATGCAAGTTTAAGTTGTGTTCTTTATTTGATGAATTTACTTATAAATGTTATAGAGAGCAAGGGCTCAAAATATTCAGCCTCGCATTCATATTATCATGAAATGGAAGATTATTCATGAAAAAACGCATAATTTAAAGGCTAATTTTGATTTTTTGTAAAAACATAAAATTTTCATATGTACCTACCTATATTCAGAGCTGGGCACCACTACTTTGAAATGTAGCTACCGCTACCGCTACATGCTCTAAATGTAGTGGGCACTACCGCTACCGCTACAATTGCTTAAATGTAGCGCCACTACCGCTACTGAAAATGTAGCAGCCGCTACATGAAGCGCGCTACTGCCCTCCTCTATATATATTCCTGATTTTGATACCCACCACAAAAAAAAATATACAAGCCTAGGGATTAATTAGTTTGTCTTGTTCAGACATGGTGGCATCAGACCTCCCTTGGCACAAAGTCTGCATGCAGAGAACATCCACTCTGTGGTGACCTCAGCCATGCAGAAATCGGGGCTTGACTTCAGCGACCTCAGCGCTATAGCAACGACTGTCAAGCCGGGTAGGTGAGAGAGAGCTTTGGAAAATTAGTTTCAAATAAGTTATTTATTATTTAATTGAGTTTTTAATCAAATTAACTACAAATGATTTATTTAATTGAGTTTTTAATCAAATTAACTTCAAATAATTTATTTAATTGAGTTTTTAATCAAATTAACTAAAAACTTGTGCAGGTCCTTACAAATCATTTGGAAGGAAAAATGAGAATCAACTAAAAGTAATTTCAAGTAAAAGTAATTAAAAACTCATTGTTTTTGTATTAAAAAATTTACTTTCTTTAAGCTTGATGACGTAAATGTAATTGAAAAATTTACTTTTTTTTAAATTGACGACCATAAAATGAAGGAGAAAAACTTACTTTCTTTAAGCTTGATGACGTAAATGTAATGGAAAAATTTACTTTTTTTGAAATTGATGACCATGAAATGTAAGAGAAAAATTTACTTTCTTTAAACTTTATGACCATGAAAGGTAATTGAAAAATTTACTTTTTTTTTAATTGATGACCATAAAATGTAAGAGAAAAATTTACTTTCTTTAAACTTTATGACCATGAAATGTAATTAAACAATATTTTCTAGGCCTGCCGATGTCTCTACTGGTCGGAGCAGAGTATGGCAAGCAGCTGGCCCTGAAGCACAGGCTTGCCTTCATCCCCATACACCACATGGAGGCTCACACTCTCACTGTCAGGCTCACAAACCAGGTTATTGATCTATAATTAAATTTGTACGAGACGAAATTTATCTATATTGATCTATAATTAAATTTGTACGAGACGAAATTTATCTATATTGATCTATACTTGATTTGTACGAAACAAAATTGATCTATAATTTACTTTTTACGAGACAAAATTGATCTAAGTTGATCTATAATTAAATTTATATGAGTCAAAATTGTTCTATAGTGATCTATAATTAAATTTATATGAGTCAAAATTGTTCTATATTGATCTATAATTTACTTTTTACGAGTCAAAATTTATCTATATTGATCTATAATTAATTTGTACGAGTCAAAATTGATCTATATTGATCTGTAATTAAATTCGTATGAGTCAAAATTTATCTATATTGATCTATAATTAGATTTGTACAAGTCAAAATTGTTCTATATTGATCTATAATTAAATTTGTATGAGTCAAAATTGATTTATTTAACTTAGAATTGGTAATTCAGCCCTGATGTGTGACTAACTAATTTTCCCCAAGCATTTTTGTTGCGTATTACGTTGCAGTTTGTTACTCTTTGTCAGTCGCAGCAGTTTGTTACTCTTTGTCAGTCACAGCAGTTTGTTACTCTTTGTCAGTCACAGCAGTTTGTTACTCTTTGTCAGTCACAGCAGTTTGTTGCTCTTTATCAGTCACAGCAGTTTGTTGATCTTTATCAGTCACAGCAGTTTGTTACTCTTTGTCAGTCGCAGCAGTTTGTTGCTCTTTGTCAGTCACAGCAGTTTGTTACTCTTTGTCAGTCGCAGCAGTTTGTTACTGTTTTAATTTAGAAGTTATGTTTTCTCTGCAGACCGATGTTTGTGTCGTGGAATCTTTGACATAAATGTTTCTTCCTAATGTTGATTACATACCAAATGATTTTTGGTTGTCATTAACGTTTTAATTTTGTCCGACGCATTTTCCTGGATTTCTACTCTAACAAGTGAAGCATACATATTTATATTTGTACTAGATTATGATATCATCAACCTCGTATTGTTCTTGGTGTCATTGACTGTTGAAGTTCCATATTGTATAGTTATCTCTTATTTATAATAAATAACCTCTTAAACCTAATGAGCATCCCATTATTGTATAATTATCTCTTATTTATAATAAATAACCTCTTAAACCTAACGAGCATCCCATTGTACATGATATATCACATTGCAGGTGGATTTTCCCTTCCTATGTCTGCTTGCGTCTGGTGATCATAAATAACCTCTTAAACCTAATGAGCATCCCATTATTGTATAATTATCTCTTATTTATAATAAATCACCTCTTAAACCTAACGAGCATCCATTATTGTATAGTTATCTCTTATTTATAATAGATAATCTCTTAAACCTAACGAGCATCCCATTATTGTATAACTATCTCTTATTTATAATAGATAATCTCTTAAACCTAACGAGCATCCCATTATTGTATAACTATCTCTTATTTATAATAGATAATCTCTTAAACCTAACGAGCATCCCATTATTGTATAACTATCTCTTATTTATAATAGATAATCTCTTAAACCTAACGAGCATCCCATTATTGTATAACTATCTCTTATTTATAATAGATAATCTCTTAAACCTAACGAGCATCCCATTATTGTATAACTATCTCTTATTTATAATAGATAATCTCTTAAACCTAACGAGCATCCCATTATTGTATAACTATCTCTTATTTATAATAGATAATCTCTTAAACCTAACGAGCATCCCATTATTGTATAACTATCTCTTATTTATAATAGATAATCTCTTAAACCTAACGAGCATCCCATTATTGTATAACTATCTCTTATTTATAATAGATAATCTCTTAAACCTAACGAGCATCCCATTATTGTATAANTTTCTTTATATAGCTCTTAATTTATTATTATTGTGGAATAAACAACGACCCGAATGTATTTTTTCTTTCTATAACTATTAAATTATTATTATTGTGGAATAATTCTGGAAGAAATGTTAATTTAGTTGTACCGTCAGGCCGCCCGGTACCTCAACCTGCGGATGCTGCGCGACTACATGGATCTTTCCGGTGGAGCCGCCATAGAAAGATTGGCTGAGAAGGGCAACGCAAAAGCCTATAATATCATTGGACAGAAATCTCCCCTGTCTGCATATAGGTAATAAGTATGTGCATATAGGTAATGGTATAAGTAAGTCTGCATATAGGTAATGAGTATGTGTGATGAACTAGCCTCAGGTATAGAAATCTCCCCTGTCTGCATATAGGTAATGACTGTGTGTGATGAACTAGCCTCAGGTATAGAAATCTCCCCTGTCTGCATATAGGTAATAAGGTAATAGGTAATAAGGTAATAACTAGCCTCAAGTATTCAAATTACCAGTCCCGTCACCTAAAAAGTTTGGATGGTCCTCTCGTCACTCCTACCAATGACCATAAACTTTATGACAGTTCCATATTAGCTTGATGAACAAGGCTTGGGCTGGACGAGGTTTGAAACCCCAATGACAAGCTAAAGTTAATATATTGAAGATGAACTGCAAATTATTAAAGGAACATATTGGAAGGAGTGGTAGTTTTATAACACGGATGCTTAATAGGAAACTAGCATAAACATACTAGCAAATAGGACTTGAGAGAGAGCTGTGACAAATCAAATACGTAATGAGATCTGATGTTAGAAGTTACGAGATAAAGCACATGATTCTAAAGACAGAAGACAACGAGTAAATACCTAAGCATGACAAATCAATTATATGTTCACTAATATCACGGTACTTCACAATAGAGTTGAATTTCAACCCTATCGCACGCGTCAACTTACCCTGGCATTGGATTTGATATCCTATAAGAGTTCTAGAACCCAGCACGCAGTCAGGATCTGGGCCCATACTTTCAAAAAAAGTTAAGAGATCGTAAGTTCATCAGCCAATCATTGACGGCTTTTCAAGCAAAATCCACCAATCATAGACAAGTAAATAGAGCGTAAGTACTTACGTTCACTTAACGAATTTTGAAAGTATGGCCCCAGCAGCTTAACTGATGGCTACCAGAAATTTAACGCCCATGTCAGAGCTGGTCACGCTTGATCCTAGCGGTGTAATGGGAAGTAGTGAGAAATTTTTCAGCCCTCTATATTACACTGTACAAACTTTAGGTCGTTATAAAATATTTTAGGATATTTTTATTCTTGCTTGCAGGTTCACAACATCACCTTTTAATTCCTAATGTTTACAGATTATAACGAGTTACGTATATTAAAAATGTTTAGGTTGCTTCCAGTATCATGATAGCTCTAACACACTTGCACAAAATGCGTGACGGTGTATGGAAGCACTTGAGTGTTTTATAGTCCGTCTTAGTATGAATTGAGTGATGGATAATGGCCAATTCTGTATATGGTGGGATGGATCCTATCTGTTTATTATCTGTGCTCCAATAGCGTATCATGGTGGGATGTATCCTATCTGTTTATTAACTTTTCTGTGCTGCTGGTCTCTGCTGGTGGGTGTTCACTTACCACTTGTTTGTTTATTTGATAAGTAAATGATTGCGTGTCTTGTCAGATGTGTGTATGTCTTTGATGGAGCGGGCTGAGCGTGAAGTGGATTATACCGCAACACTAAAGTTTTCTAAAAACTTAAAAGCGAAGAAAACTCCACAAAAATTCATAGTATCTTTAAAGAAAACGTTTTCTTTAAAGATTCTATGAATTTTTGTGGAGTTTTCTTTGCTTTTAAATTTATAGTGAATTTGCGATTCAAGCAAAATAGTGACGTTATTACTTATATACGTTCAAAATACGGTAATGTTTTCTGTCTCGCAGGGATTGCAACTTCAGCTTCTCAGGCTTGAAGAGCAACTTGGATGTGATAGTGCGGCAGCTCGAGAAGGAACACGGTATGTTTCCTAGAGCTGTAATATCAAAAAAAGTTAATAGTTCATGAATCTGCCAGCCAATCGCAAACGGCAGCTCGATAGTGCGGCAGCTCGAGAAGAAACACGGTATGTTTCCTAGAGCCGTACTAGCAAAATAAGTTAATAGTTCATGAATCTGCCAGCCAATCGCAAACGGCAGCTCGATAGTGCGGCAGCTCGAGAAGGGACACGGTATGTTTCCTAGAGCCGTACTATCAAAAAAGTTAATAGTTCATGAATCTGCCAGCCAATCGCAAACGGCAGCTCGATAGTGCGGCAGCTCGATGTTTCCTAGAGCCGTACTATCAAAAAAGTTAATAGTTCAAGAATCTGTCAGCCAATCGCAAACGGCAGCTCGATAGTGCGGCAGCTCGAGAAGGAACACGGTACGTTTCCTAGAGCCGTACTATCAAAAAAAGTTAATAGTTCATGAATCTGTCAGCCAATCGCAAACGGCTCTCCAAAGTAAATCCACCAATCACAGACGAGAAATCAGCCACTGTGTGTAATAAGGCCGATATATGTTAGTATGACGCTATGTAGACTATAGCAAGTTTTGATAGCATTGGTGCGTATAGCAAGTTTTGATAGCATGAAAGCGTATTTTTTCTCCAAGTCGACCGTGTATCCTTGCTCGAGACTTGTGTTTACAAGTTGCACCTTTTACTGAACTAGAATTTATTTATTTATTTATTTAGACTTTGAGCAATCATGAATCCAAATAGATGTATGTTGCAGATCGCGTTTAAAAGTACGTCCTATTCATGTCAAGTAATTCTATATTTTCTTACCAAAGAATAATTGATACTGTATGTTCTTATTTTCCTCAATGAATTGTGTATGTTTTTCCACTTAATCAAACTTTAAAAGCGTTCGTGTAAAAATCTCTTATTTTCTTCCAAGAATTTTGCATGTTTCTCCATTTAATCAAACTTTGTGAGCGTTCATGTAAAAATCTCTTATTTTCTTTCAAGAATTTGGTATGTTTCTCCACTTAATCAAACTTTGAGAGCGTTCCTGTAAAAATCTCTTATTTTCTACCAAGAATTTTGTATGTTATTCCACTTAATCAAACTTTGAAAGCGTTCGTTCGTGTAAAAATCTGTCTGTTCCAAGAATTTTGTATGTTTCTCCACTTGATCAAACTTTGAGAGCGTTCATGTAAAAATCTCTTATTTTCTTCCAAGAATTTTGTATGTTATTCCACTTAATCAAACTTTGAAAGCGTTCGTTCGTGTAAAAATCTGTCTGTTCCAAGAATTTTGTATGTTTTTCCACTTAATCAAACTTTGAGAGCGTTCATGTAAAAATCTCTTATTTTCTTCCAAGAATTTTGTATGTTTCTCCACTTAATCAAAGTTTGTGAGCGATCGTTCGTGTAAAAATCTCTTATTTTCTTCCAAGAATTTTGTATGTTTCTCCACTTAATCAAAGTTTGAGAGCGTTCATGTAAAAATCTCTTATTTTCTTCCAAGAATTTTGTATGTTTCGCCACTTAATCAAAATTTGAAAGCGTTCATGTAAAAATCTGTCTCAAACTTCAGGTCTTGACGGAGACTCGCCTCTAGAGCTGCCGCTACTCCAGGATCTGAGCGCGAGCTTCCAGCACGCGGTGTGCCAGCACATCGTACGTCGCACCCACCGCGCCATGCTCTACTACAGCGCCTCCGTCAGCCCTCAGCAGCAATGCAAGACCCTGGTGAACACCTCTCTAGCTCTTTATTTTTTAATTTTGTTACAGTACAGGGGCCATACTTTGAAAACTCGCTAAGTGAACGTAAGTGCTTACGCTCTATTTTCTTGTCAACGATTGGTGGATTTTGCTTGAAAGGCCGTCAATGATTGGCTGATGAACTTACGATCTCTTAACTTTTTTTGAAAGTAAAGGTTCTGGTATTCTGTACTGTAACAAAAAAAAAATAAAATAACGAGCTAGAGAGGTCTTCACCAGCGTCTTGCATTCTTGCTGAGGGTTGACAGAGGAGCTGTAGTATCGTATGTTCTTGGACATTCCTGGTATTCTGGGCCTATACTTTCAAAAAAAGTTAACAGATCGTAAGTTCATCAGCCAATCATTGACGGTCTTTCAAGCAAAATCCACCAATCATAGACAAGAAAATAGAGCGTAAGTACTTACGTTCACTTAGCGAGTTTTGAAAGTATGGCCCCAGGATTGGAGCTGAGAGATGTGTGCCCGAGACCGCAACGAGACATGAATGTTCTCTGATGTCAATCGGCGGCAGGTCTAATGGCCTAATAAGCGCTGAAACTGCTATTATTATAATCGTTATCATATACAATTATACACCCTCCGCATGTGTTGGTGAAGACCTCAGTAGCTTGTTTAAGAACTCCGGAACCCTGGCCGTTTTTTTTTCCACCAATTCCCTCAACATTTATCGGTCGTGTATTTCTACTTCGGTTTTTTAGTTAACTCGTCATTGCTGAGAATTTAGAGCCTATTCCCTTCATCGTCATCTTCCATTAGGGCAGTTTTTGTCATATTGTTTTAGTTGTCAGTTTTCTCAATGATTAAATTTGTGTTTCAAATTTTAGTTTGATGCTTATTTTCAACCACAAAATTCGATAGTAAATGGTTGCCATAGAATTCGATGGTGTTACAGTTCAATCTAAAATATTGTTTTACATTTTTTTTCAAGACGATCGTATGTCGGAGCAAATTCTTATAGACTAAGATTTTGAAGATGTTGCTTGCTTATCGTGATATAGCAGCAATAAGTTATCAAATTCAGACAGCTGATCAAGATAACATGTTTAGGCATTCATTGGTAATTCATTATAGACAGTCGTAATTGCGCATTAGAAGTTATATATGCAATACTTGAGGTGATCAATATAACATGTTTAGGCATTCATTGGTAATGCACTAAAAATTCTTAACTGCACAGCATTGGACGCGAGATAGACCGACCTGAAGCACCTTCAAATATGGCCACTGAAGTAACTAATATGTCTGCACGTTATTAAGTCATTTGTGTCATAATGAAGCTGATGATAATTGACTTTGAATTTTTGAGTTTCAATTCTTAATTTTTGAAATGAGATGAATTGTTGAATCAAACTCAAACAATAAGTTTGAATTTTGAGTTTGAAATTGAATGAAGCTGATGATAATTGAGTTTGATTTTTGAATTGAGATGAATTGTTGAATCAAACTCAAACCATAAGTTTGAATTTTCGATTTTTGAATTAAGATAAATTATTGAATCAAACTCAAAAAATTGAGTTTGAATTTCTGAATTTTGAGTTTGAAATTGAATGAAGCTGATGACAATTGAGTTTGAATTTTTGAATTGAGATGAATTGTTGAATCAAACTCAAAAAATTGAGTTTTAATTTTTGAGTTTTGAGTTTGAAATTGAATTAAATTGATGATAATGTAACAGGTTGTGTCGGGCGGCGTAGCTGATGATAATGAGTTTGAATTTTTGAATTAAGATGAATTGTTGAATCAAACTCAAACAATTGAGTTTGAATTTTTGAGTTTTGAGTTTGAAATTGAATGAAATTGATGATAATGTAACAGATTGCGTCGGGCGGCGTAGCTGATGAAGCTGATGATAAATGACTTTGAATTTTTGAATTGAGATGAATTGTTGAATCAAACTCAAACAATTGAGTTTGATTTTTTGAATTTTGAGTTTGAAGTTGATGATAATATAACAGGTTGTGTCGGGTGGCGTAGCAAGCAACGCGTCCCTGCGTGGGTGGCTGGACAAGCTGTGCTCGTCACTGGGAGGCTGGAGGCTCGTGTGTCCCCCGCCTCAGCTGTGCACCGACAACGGCGTCATGGTCGCGTGGAACGGCTTAGAGAAACTTAGAGCCATGCGAGGTGTCATCACCGACCCTGCCATCATTACAGATGTACAAGTACAAGCCAAGTAAGCCCTCATATAATGATATTAATTGAGTAAATCATCACGTTTTGCCTAGAATTACGAGCACGTTCAGTTGTTTAGTCATATAATGAAATTAGCTTAGTCATGAACACGATCGTCCTAGAATTATGAGGACCTTCAGTTGTTGATGCTGTTATACAGGTGCAGTTGCGTTTTTAGCGCATTTTCTCATTTATGAAAAAAATTCACTATTGTGCTCGCCATGTCCGTCCGTCCGTCTGTCCGCCCGTCCGTGACTTCATATTTTCGACGACGAGAAAATGCGCTCTCTGTCACTCACTGCAGTGAGGGTTATACTGAGTACCGAATTATATTTTTTCCATGATTTCGTCGTTACGTTGGTGGTATTTCTTGTCTTGAATCAGGTAATAATGAAAGGTTCTACATTTCTTTCAGTTACTTGCAAGTTTTTTAAGATCATCTGAGTACCCCTCATACAGGTCCTAGTGAGCGGAAGGTTCTTCTGCAAGTCGTGTTTATTATTGTTTGCTAGGACTTTCTTACTTCAGAACTTAAATTATAACTCTTGTGTGGCAGCCCTTAATGTTTGCAATTAATAATATGATCATTTGGTAAAGATATTTTCATTCAATCCTCATTATTTTCCTGGGCTCACAGTATCATTTGGTGTGCTTTTTATTGTTCGCTAGGACTTTCTTACTTCAGAACTTGAATTAGAGCTCTTCTCTGGCAGCCCTTATTACTCGTCACCAATAATATGATCATTTGGTAAAGATATTTTCATTCAATCCTCATTATTTGCTGGGCTCACAGTATCATTTGGTGTGCTTTTTATTGTTCGCTATGAATTTGTTACTTCAGAACTTGAATTAGAACTCTTCTTTGGCAGCCCTTATTACTCGTCACCAATAATATGATCATTTGTTTAAGATATTTTCATTCAATTCTCATTATTTCCTGGGCTCACAGTGTCATTTGGTGTGCTTTTTATTGTTCGCTAAGACTTTCTTACTTCAGAACTTGAATTAGAGCTCTTCTTTGGCAGGCGTTAAGATATCATTTGGTTAAGATATTTAAATTCAATTCTCATTTTTTTCCTGGGCTCACAGTATCATTTGGAAGATATTCATTATTTGCTGGGCTCACAGTGTTCGCTAGGACTTTCATACTTCAGAACTTGAATTAGAATTCTTCTCTTGCAGCCGTTTTTACTAGTCACCAATAATATGATCATTTGATAAAGATATTTTCATTCAATCGTCATTATTTCCTGGGCTCACAGTATCATTTGGTGTGCAGGTGTCCGCTTGGAGAAGACGCATCACAGGACGTGGCCATGCAGAGCATCAAAGTCAGCAAGTGGATCAAAGCTTAGCTCTGCACCTCAGGCTCATGTCTCATCCATCTTAGCATTTACCATTAGAAAGCATCTAGAAACTTGGTGTCAGAGCTGTGTCAGAGCTAGCTCTGCTCCTCAGGCTCCTGTCTCATCCATCTTAGCATTTTACCATTAAAAAACATCTAGAAACTTGGTGTCAGAGCTGTCTCAGAGCTATCCAATCTGGGATAGTAAGCCTGTAGCATCTGGGTGTCAGAGCTGTGTCAGAGCTATCCAATCTGGGATAGGGAGCCTGTAGCATCTGGGTGTCAGAGCTGTGTCAGAGCTATCCAATCTGGGATTGCAAGCCTGTAGCATCTGGGTGTCAGAGCTATCCAATCTGGGATTGCAAGCCTGTAGCATCTGGGTGTCAGAGCTGTGTCAGAGCTATCCAATCTGGGATAGGAAGCCTGTAGCATCTGGGTGTCAGAGCTGTGTCAGAGCTATCCAGTCTGGGATAGTAAGCCTGTAGCATCTGGGTGTCAGAGCTGTGTCAGAGCTATCCAATCTGGGATAGCAAGCCTGTATAGCATCTGGGTGTCAGAGCTGTGTCAGAGCTCTCCAATCTGGGATAGCAAGCCTGTATAGCATCTGGGTGTCAGAGCTGTGTCAGAGCTCTCCAATCTGGGATAGCAAGCCTGTGTAGCATCTGGGTGTCAGAGCTATCCAATTGATCATCATTGATTTCAAACAAAGTTAGAGTATTATCTATTTATTGCAGGTAGACTTACAAGGCATGGAAGAGAAGAAAGGCCAAGAATTACATCTATTGAGCAACCATTTCTACCAGGCTCCTTGCTAGTTGGTGTTCTATATCTATAAAAAATCTACAAACAAATGCGTTTTTAAGAAATCCTCTTCGTAACGAAAGGCTTTCTAAACAATTTAATAATGGAACTGTAAAAAGAATATACAAGTTCTCAAAGACTTGAATTACGCACGTGAGGTACGTAATGAACATTTAATATTGCTGATCTTACAATAAAGGATTTTTATTTTGATGTTTAGTAAGGATTTAACATAATAATATTTAGCTTATCCGGAACCCCCTGATACTTTAAAATTCATGGGAAATTTAATTATAAGGAATAATAATCAGAATTTGAGTAATTACTAATTCACTTTGTCATTTATCGCAATTGGGGCTATTAGGTTATATTTAAATGTTAAAATTTGCTGCCATCAAAGCAGGTATGTTTTATTCCAACGGTCTTTCCGATTCAGTATTTGACTTGTTTATATGGTAAATTCGAACTTCTTCGATATAAACTGGACATTAAAATGAAATGCAAATTGATAACTACATTTTCTGGGAATCATTCTTACTTCAACGGCCACTGCTCTAGTTTTCCAACATTCCGAGTATCGGCGTCGGACATTTACCAAGAATTTCTAGGCTATTATTCTACACTCATTATTGCTGGAATAAATCTTAAAGTAAATATGGTAATTCAAGGTTTACTTGTAAGTAGTCCTTAACTGGAACTGGCTAAACCGTTATCTAGCCAGGCAAACAGTTAACAATATTTCTACGGTCCAAAAACTAGTGGACAGAGAGCAGCTATCACTAGGGCCTTGGGCATCCTAACTCAGCTAGGGGCTTATTTCTGCTATGTGCAGCAAAAGTCACTATTTGGACAATATGACTCCTTCATTTTTTTCTAAGTGTGAGGTAAATACGCTGTACATAGAATGTGTGGTGGTGAGACTGGACGATGGTTGGTGGGTTCACCGCTTCTCGAGAGCCACGTCACTTCGATTTAGACTTCCCTCTCTTCTGCGGACTGCCGTCCATACCTGCACATAAAATCTTTCTTATTTTCACTGTACTTCTTTTTCTCCGACCATCATGGCCAATATCCTGGCAAACGCTTCCTTTGATCGTTATGAACACAACGCGCCCCTGGCATCTAGAAACTAACGAGCAATTCATCAAACGCTAGAGAGTAAATGTGTCATGCTATCGTGTATAAAAGTGCACGCGAAATATATTCTTATAAATATTCCCTATATATATATTATTATATACATTCCTTATATATGTATATATGCCACCCAGCCCTTAATGGTTAGTGGCCATCTACATGATGTGAATGAAAATATCTAAAAGATAATGTGTAAGTAGCAGGTTCCTACATGATGTGAATGAAAATATCTAAAAGATAATGTGTAAGTAGCAGGTTCCTACATAATGTGAATGAAAATATCTAAAAGATAACGTGTAAATAGCAAGACTCACCCCATACAGCGACGTGGAGCTTCTCGCCCAGGACGTAGAGCACCATCGTCGGCACGGTCAGCGCGAAGAAGAAACCGATGCGCCCGGCCGTGTTGAGCTGCTCGAACACCGGGTACACCCAGAAGCCTCCCATCACACGGATGTACATCACCCTGTACGAACATCATAACTGCTACATCACCCTGTACGAACATCACAACTGCTACATCACCCTGTACATTACAACTGCTACATCACCCTGTACGAACATCTGAATATTAGAGCATTACCACTGCTACATCACCCTGTACATTACAACTGCTACATCACCCTGTACATTACAACTGCTACATCACCCTGTACATCACAACTGCTACATCACCCTGAACATGGCAACCGATCACATCACCCTGAACATTGCAACCGACTACATCACCCTGAACATTGCAACCGACTACATCACCCTGAACATTGCAACCAACTACATCACCCTGAACATTGCAACCGACTACATCACCCTGAACATTGCAACCGACTACATTACCCTGAACTTTGCAAACGACTACATCACCCTGAACGAACATTTGAACACTGTAAACTGCTATCACACATTTGTTAATAAAATTGGCGCATAAATAAGATTTCATGAGTTATACGTAATATACATTGCAAGTTAAGATTCTTCGACTATGGATGTTTATCGCCAAATTAAGAAGCTGCCAACTCCTTTGGTCGGGCCCGAACCTATTCTTCAGTAACTGAACACTTCTTCAGAAATTATCGTTTCGTCGATAACCTCTGATAACCGAGACTCGCAAAAATCCCTAACTGAAAATAAATTCAAGTTTTTGACAAAAATCTATCAGATTTTTCAACGTATAATTCGCTATGTTGAGTATTCTTCATCAAATGCTAAGTGCCAACTGAAGCATTTGTTCTTGTGTCGGACGAAATGTCCAGCGAAGTGAACTTCATGAAGTCATCGTCAAATTTATTCCTTTTAAATCTTTGCAATTAATAATGTACTGATCTCTAATGAAGTGTACTAAATAGATTATTGAATCGAGTGAATATGCAAGTGATGTTGAAAATGAATTGGTAACAATGGGCACCAATTTTATTTGGAGACTATCACAATTCGACATATTTGTAGCCAGCAGTTTTTGGCTCGGAGGCGCATATCAATATCAGTAAAATAAATCGCATTTTCCACTTTTATGCCGCTTGTCGACCCGAGAAATCTATTCCCAAATTACATCGACTTCTCAAGAACATTCCTTTTATTGTGGGCAGGGTGGCCCAGTGGTTAAAGTTCAGAGTACCAAGATTGGCGCAGAGAGGTGCGGGTTCGATCCCAGCTCTGTGCGCCAGTTTCTGGTCAGAATCGGCAAGGAGGCCGGGCGGTTAAGCACAGCAGAATTGTAGCAGTGAGTTGTGAGTTCGAGACCGCAAAATACTGTGAATGTTCTGCTATGTTAAGAATCGGCGACAGGCCTACTAAACGCTGAAACCGCTATTATTATTTATTAAGTGGAACACTGCACATTATGGGCTACAGCAAACATGATCAGCAGCACATTTGTTATCGAGATCTTGTGCACAATAGTATTTAGTGTAATTTTAATACTAAATACAATCCTTAAAATAATCAGACGCTGATTATAGTCTACATTCAGACCGATAACGTCTGAAATGCAGAGCAGGGCCCATACCTTCAAAAAAAGTTAAGAGATCGTAAGTTCGTCAGCCAATCATTGACGGCCTTTCAAGCAAAATCCACCAATCATAGACAAGAAAATAGAGCGTAAGTACTTACGTTCACTATACTTTCAAAAAAAGTTAAGAGATCGTAAGTTCATCAGCCAATCATTGACGGCCTTTCGAGCAAAATCCACAATCATAGACAAGAAAATAGAGCGTAAGTACTTACGTTCACTTAGCGAGTTTTGAAAGTATGGCGCCTGGTCTTAAGACCACGATAAAATATTTCCTGCTTCGTTGATTGGGCGAAGTTTAAATCTTCCGTTGATAACGAGAACTTTTTGGGCGACCTCATTCAATAAGGTTTAAAATCCAAACAAAAAGTCAAGACTCTTATCCCGATAAGAATAAATTAAAAACAACTGAGCAGTACCATAGACCCGGAAATAACCACGGAAACCTTTAATCATATACTGAGGCAGAATACAGTTTAAAAACTGTAACTTACAATCGTCGTTTTGGTTGATAAGGTTATCGCCACAAAGGTCATGGACTGAGTCGGTCGATCTCGGGGATGAAATTGGAAATAAAATATTTACGAAACTCTCAATCGTTTAAAATTCTAACCAAGAGGCTCATAATGCCTCTTCTTATCGTCAAGAAGCAAATGAGTATGCGTCTTGATGCCGTTTACCTTTGGACCCTTGATACAGAGAGAACAAATTGCAACAGATAGCTCGCTGTGTGGGACACTATATAGTACAGGTCATGCACACACTCCCTGATTATACAGCCACTCGAACTGCATCTGTGCTGTTGTCACTCAGTTCGTTTAGTGTTTATACGGTAAATTATTCATACTTCTGTAAGGCTGTAATTGTAATCGCTTGTAATTTTCGGTTGAATACAAGGCTAGGTTCAGTTTCAAACATGGACATAGACAGATTGATTCACAATTCATCATCACACACAATTCATCAGCGAGTTCTACACTAGTCAATCATTTAGGGATTAGGTTTCTACACGTGCTTGCAATTCTCTTCGTTCGTATTATCAAAGATAGATTCCCTTGTTTATGAAAATAAAATCAAAGTACAAATAGAATATCACGACTCTAGGTCGCCCCGTTGAGGCGATAAGTTACCAGGGGCCGTACTTTCAAAAATTCGCTAAGTGAACGTAATTATTTGCGCTCTTTTTTCTTGTCTATGATTGGTGGATTTTGCTCGAAAGGCCGTCAATGATTGGCTGATGAACTTACGATCTCTTAACTTTTTTGAAAGTATGGGCCCTGGCCTTTTGACCCGAATAACGTCCAAGAATATTAATGCATTTTTAAGAAATGGTTGATGATATTAATAACCCATGAAGTTATTTCTGCAATGAGGCAAGAAAATGGTTCAAAAATTAGTTAAAGTTGCGTCGCTAACACTCGGTTAGAAAATAAGATTACTTCGAAAATGCGGTAAAGACATACACATTAACCGTGGTACACGAATGCAAGTGCGCATGCAAGAACAGCCTCCCTGATAGCATCGTTGAAGCTCCTAGAATGAACATCTTCAAAAACAGACTAGACGAAGCTATGCAGGAGCATATGTTCAGTCTTAAAATGCCTAGCAAATTACGGACCAGGCAATAAGTCCAGACGAAGCTATGCAGGAGCATATGTTCAGTCTTAAAATGCCTAGCAAATTACGGACCAGGCAATAAGTCCAGCAGCTATCTCAATCAATCGTCAGTTATGGAAAGATCGGGTTCCAAAGGCCGGATCCCTTGTGAATCAAGTCACGAAAAGTTCAAGAATCGGCAACAGGCCATGGGCCTATTTCTTCAACGCCGACACATCTATTCTATTCTATTCTAAGTGGGGCTTTTCTTACTATAATAAATTGCATCGTGCTGTTTTTATTTGAATGCCTGTTAACTATAGCTACCACCCAGAAGACTAAATGTTCAACAAGAAAGTTATCAGAAAATTTTTACAGAATTCGGGACTCACGGAGAAGAGTAAGAAATGTAATAGTACCAATCTTTTCTCCGAGTGAAAAATGAAACAGAATACGGTAGATACCCAAACAGGCAAAAGATGTAAAGGGAGATCGCAACTCATTCAAACAGGTAAAAAATTTAACAGGGATCGGTACTCACCACAGGTAAGATATATAAAAGTAATGAGTACTCACCTGGACAGGTGACAAAGGTAATACTGACAGGTACTAACCAAAACAGGTAAAGAATATAAGAGTAATGAGTACTCATCACGACAGGTGACAAAGGTAATACTGACAGGTACTAACCATAACAGGTAATGAATATAACAGTAATGAGTACTCACCACGACAGGTAACAAAGGTAATACTGACAGGTACTAACCAAAACAGGTAAGAAATATAACAGTAATGAGTACTCACCACGACAGGTGACAAAGGTAATACTGACAGGTACTAACCATAACAGGTGACAAAGGTAATACTGACAGGTACTAACCATAACAGGTGACAAAGGTAATACTGACAGGTACTAACCATAACAGGTTAAGTGGACATTAAGAACACTAACTGCACGTAGAAACATACTTCAAACTCTTCTCATAAAACGTAAGTGATTATTAAGTGGACATCAAGAACACTAACTGCGCGTAGAAAAATACTTCAAACTCTTTTCATAAAATGTAAGTGATTATTAAGTAGAAATTAAGAAAACTACCGCCACGAACTGCACGTAGAAACATACTTCAAACTCTTCTCATAGAATGTAAATGATTATTAAGTGGAAATTAAATATTTAAGTGCTAGTGAACTTACAGACTCATTTGGCATGGGACTCCTCTAACTGAACTTAAACAAAGTCAAAATTAAAGCCTATTTTTCTAGATTATGGTGCAGATTTATATATAAATCTTTCAAGAACGTGACATGCACTATTTACTAACACAAAAGGTATAATTAGAAATTTCATATTTTTTTACCCCTGTTCTGCGCCATTGAAGAGACTTGTTAATTTCCATTATGCAAGTCGTACTGGCACCGAATATTTTTTTTGGTTACGATAAATTATTCGAAATTTTAAGATAATCTTAAAGGAGGAGGTGTACCCTAAAATTTTCGGATTTGGCTTTTCTGGTATTTAGTCTCATCTTAAAGCTGACATTCTGCCCTATCCAATGATACCACTGCGATCCCTGTACGTGAATTTATACGTACATGACGGCTCTTTAAAGGGGGGCGGGTGGGAGGGTTCCGCCACTAATTAGATACAAGGTAATTAGCTGCTGAGCATTTTAAATATAGTGTCTGATTGAGTTGCGCTTTAGTTACTCGTTTCATCTCATTTTAAGCGATTATGGTTAAATGTGACTTTAGACTATTGCGAGTGAGATGTTGCTGGAAACAAAGCAAGTTTTTTTCATTATTCCACGCCGCTCTCGGTTCTGAGTATAAGGATGAAGGGAGTCGTGAAATGCAACTTAAGCGTGAAACAAGATGTCAGTGATATAACAACAGAAAATAACAGCTGATACCTTATCAGTTATGGACTGATGATAACAACCTTTAATTTACATGGAGCAAATCCGAATTTCATAAATGTCCCGTAAGGTCGGAGAACTCAAGCTACACGCTACATCGCGGAGTGCTCATCAGCTACTGGGGGCTTTGCTTAAGGTTGCTAGCCCTTTTATAACGTTCGCTTCCGCCCACTACTGCGGTCTTGATCGCGTGATCTATCACGTGTCTATCAGATGTTGACTCGTCCTCAATCTCTATCAGGTCAAGTGAATTGGCCGCTGACATAAACAATAGGCTTACGAATAAGAGCTACGTAGATTACCGTATCCTAGACATCACTACTACTCGTAGCTCTGTCACTGTATGGTAGATAGCACAGGCTACTCGTTCAAAGATTATTTATCGTAGTACACTAGATATCGTATATATAAGATTATCGTATGCTAGATATCACATATACGTTTACTAGATAGCACATGCTATTAAAATAGTTTATTATTATCATAAATAATTTATTTATTATCATAAATAGTTTATTTATCGTCCACTTAATATCGTATATAATATTATCGTACGCTAGATATCATATATTAGATACATAATAGTGACGTCGACATCACATATTAGATAAATTAGAGCGTACTCTACATCACATACTAGTTAGATTACGGTGTACTCTACACCACATACTAGGTAGATTATAGTGTGCTCTACATCACCTACTAGTTAGATTATAGTGTACTTAGTATCCTTAGTATTTGTTTGGGACATAGCAGTCCCAGGCCACGATGGATCGCCGCCTCTGATTATCGTTCGTCCGCCCTCATTTGGGCCACCTGATGCACGATGCTGTTGCTTGCTTCTCGCCGCTGGTAGTGTTGCAGGGGAGGTCGATCAGAGATTGTGCCCAGGAACACGTCTAGTTGTCTCTTGAAGGTCTCCAGGGTGAACTCCCCCTCTCTTAGATCCCTTGGTAGGGCGTTGAACAGCCTTGTCCCTGCCACGGAAAGTGATCCTTCCCGCAGGGATTGAAATCTGACCACAGATCTGTTACGTAATGGGGGGATCTTGCAGTCTCCCCCTTCTCTCGATGAGCAGAGCAAGCCTTCGTTCGTGCTCTACACCACATACTAGTTAGATTACAGTGTACTCTACATCACTTACAAGTTAGCTTACCGTACAATCGAGACGAGCGTTGGTAAGAAGAGCATTACTCACAGAACCAACAGGGAAGACAAGGGTGGTGAAGAGCCAGTCTCTGAAGCGTTGCAAGCTTCCTTGTTTGTTGCTCTGACGGTGGTCAGTTCCAACGATGTCGTTGAGCAGCGCTAAGCTGAAGTACGACAGCTGCAGTAACTGAAATAATATAGTTTTCTACGTGTTTATCATGGCATAGCAGCTGTGGGTTAATAAAACAATACAAATTCATAATATTATTGAAAATGAATATGAAAATTGGAATACCTTTTATGGCATAGCAGGTGGGGTTAATAAAACAATACAAATTCATAAGATTATTAAAAATGAATATGGAAATTGGGATACCTTTTATGGCATAGCAGGTGGGGTTACTTAAACAATCCAAATTCATAAGATTATTGAAAATGAATATGAAAATTGGGATACCTTTTATGGCATAGCAGGTGGGGTTACTTAAACAACCCAAATTCATAAGATTATTGAAAATGAATATGAAAATTGGGATACCTTTTATGGCATAGCAGGTGGGGTTACTTAAACAATCCAAATTCATAAGATTATTAAAAATGAATATGAAAATTGGGATACCTTTTATGGCATAGCAGGTGGGGCTACTTAAACAACCCAAATTCATAAGATTATTGAAAATGAATATGAAAATTGGGATATCTTTGTGCTGATGCTAGTCCAAGTTAAATTTGTTTAGCATTGTTTCACGAATCGATTAAAGTTAATAGTATGGTTAATTCATCATTCGATGATGAGCAGAGCAAGCCTTCGTATACGATGAAAGCAGTCTTTTATTATAGTCTCAACGGTTTACGACTCGCTATCAATAAAGGCTTCAATTTTGTTTTCTACTTTCGTCGAATTCAATATCAAATTCAAGTTCCTTAATCATTTCTTTCAAGGTATTTAGTTAATACTCATAATTTTTCAGCATATTTTTTGTATTTCATCAATAGATATCATTGAAAAGCAGATATTACATTAATTTAGCTTAATTTCTTCAGATCACAGAATTTAGGAATTTAAGACGATGCCAAGTATTGTGCCGCGCACTGTTAGAAAAAACGGTGAAAAAACGGTCCCACTGGCGTTCTAGTGGCCGGTCGCCCCGTGAAAATAAACTGTTTCGCCGTTTTTATCAGATGTTTTACGGATTTCTAATGTTAAATTGGAATAAAAACGGCGACACGGTGTTTCTTTTCACGTGCCTACTGGCCATGCACTGCAACGCCGGTAATATTAATTATTATTATTATTAATCATTATTATTATTATTATTATTATTAATTAAAATACCGTTAATGGTAATTTTTCTAACAGTGCTCGTGTACACACCTGACCACTATTGTGTAAAGAAACTTTATATGCGAGATTTATAAAAAAACTCTATATAATTCTAAAAGCATTGCATGAACCTCTTCTTATACACAATCCATGTATCAAGATGAAAATCTATGAACAAAAATACTGATAAAGTTGCTTAACTGAACCAACAATTGAATTGAATTACACGTCATTGCCTGAAAACGATCAAAAATAACACTCTCAGATGCTTCTTCGCCATAAATCTTAAGGAATTAATTGACTGTCACATAAAAAGAGGTCCACTTGATTGGCATCCAAGAAGCAATGGATCGTCCCTATTTTTCTCTCGCCTTATTTGCCATTTCCAAACTACAATTCCGTACGGGAGCGCAAGTGTGCTCCATCCTTGAAGGTTTGCGCAATGAGAGTAAATCGAGGGTAATTCCGAATAATTAATGTATCACATTGCCCAAACACTGACACTTTCTTACCCAAAGCGCAAGCAAATAGCGGACGGAGGCACTCACGGAGCACTCAAACGCTCTGTGGCCAGGCTAACCTTAAAAAAATATAACTCAGTAGTACTCACTGCAGTGAGTGGCAGAGAGCGCATTTTCTCGTCGACGAAAACGTGAAGTCACGGACGGACAGACAGACAGACGGACATGACGAGCAAAATAGCGCCTTTATTCCATAAATGAGACAACTAGCCAAAAATGGCCCCCAAAAAGAGCAAAACGTACATCGCTTTTTGGACAGTCTCACATATTCCTCTTGAGTACATAGCTTACAGGAGCAAGTCTTAACTTGATGACTACGGTACTCACCATGTGGTGTAGAGTATAGTATAGCTTACAGGAGCAAGTCTTAACTTGACTACTCACCATGTCAATGTGGGTGAGGTATTTGCATCTGTTGCCAAGCCCAAGTGTCACCTCGCGGAATTTCGAGCCAATGGGCATTTGAAGCATAAAGTAATCCCAGTAAACAGACAGCGCGAAGCCTGCCGTCACGACGACATGGAACAACAAGCTTTCTAGACCCATGTTTTAGTTTATAAAACTATACGTCAACAAATATGTACTTAGAAAAGTCAACACTAAAAAGTTTCTGGCTGAAATAAGAATACACGGAATGGTTAGTATTATCACAAAATTCATAAGATACTATAACATGACGAATAATCTTTTACAATACATTACAAGCAGAAGATAATGAAAGAAAGTAAAATTAAGTATCACAAGAATATGTAAATACTAATTAACGCGAAATATCATTCAATAAAATGTACGCAAACTAATTACTAGAAGTTATCGTAAAGATTTGTCTAGCAGTGAACAATTACTTAGGTCTAATGTGAAGCCTATATCTTTAATAAAAATTACATATGTACTAGCAATTCAACTGAGACCAGCAAGACAAAGTAACCTCAACCGATATTAAATTGAATGAAATCGACATTTCATTGATTTTCCAAAAAAATAACCATTAAATAGCTTAAGCCTCATTTCAACGATTAGGACGACTTCAATCTTTTTCATTGCTATTCATACATATCTTTAGGTTCGGTAACTCAAGTTTATTAATATTAACAGTTTTAGGCTAATTGTTGAGATGAACAATTTCCGATTCATGGCATTAGTTACACAAAATATAAGTCTGAAATTTAGCTGCGGTTTAAATGTGAGAGATTTTTATCTAAACCCATTTTTTGAATGAAGACCCGGGGGGTGAAATAAATTTTGGGGGGGGAGGGTGAAATAAATTCTATAAATAATGCACCAAGATGACACGGTTGATAGGGAGGATTTCAGTATTAAAATAATAAACCTTTTTCGTCTATTATTTTGTGAATTAGGCTTAAAAATTGGGTTAACGTTACCACAACAGCACCGATAAATAAGTGACAGACGCGAAAGTTATATCGCATAATTACGTTAAAATATGCTGGGCAACAACAGGGTGGGCAGGGTGGCCCAGTGCTCACAGTTCAGAGTACCAAGATTGGCGCAGAGAGGCGCGGGTTCAATCCCAGCTCTGTGCGCCAGTTTCTGGTCAGAATCGGCAAGGAGGCCGGGCGGTTAAGCACAGCAGAATTGTAGCAGTGAGTTGCGCGTTCGAGACCGCAACAAGCTGTGAATGTTCTGCGATGTTAAGAATCGGCGACAGGTCTACGGCATAATAAACGCTGAAACCGCTATATATATATATATATATATATATTTAACACCCAAGCGTCAGTCGCTGCAGTATTATAAGTCGGAAGAAGCTGACGCAAAGTCTATCGATATTTTCACTAAAGAGCCCAAGGACAGAATGCCTGAAGACAAGTGCAGGCATGAGCCCTGGGCAACAGTTGATGAAAATATTAGATAGCGAGTGATTATGAACCTAATGAGACATAACTCCATCAATCACAGTGATAAGCTAAAGTCGAAAACACTCGAGCAGGACTCAGTGTCATCAGTGCACAGAGATAGCGTTTTTATTGGGTATTGCAACCACGTTCATTTTTTTCCCCCAAAATATGAGCGATAAGCCTGCGTGGAGAGTGATTAGAACATTAGTACGCATGTAACTTGCATTTGCATACAGAAAATTACACTAGTTTTAACTTGTATTTAAGAATGACATAGATTAGAAATGATAAGACATATTAAAACCTAAATCATTGAGTACAAGCGTAAACCAAAACTGGTTCTATTCTAATCAGAAGATGCGAACCCTATTCATTGTACAATCAAAGTAATTGGGGAAACCTTAATAAATTCCAGTTAGTTTAGTGGCCAAATGTTACTAGCGCTTCAGCTATTTAGCTATCTCGCACCGAAAGTAGAGATGAACATCACCAAAGAGGTGGAAGGACTCAATTATCGAAAGTTTCTTAAATCGAAAAATCACCTACAAGGGCGGAAGGCCTCAATTGTCCAGCCCGCTGAAGCTGTCTCGAAGGAAGCAGCGTTAGTTTGGTGACAAGGAGGGACAGGTGAAAAGCAACAGAAACGAAGACACTCGAACAAGCGGTCGCTTACACGGGACGTCGGCCGCCCACACGAGAGAGACAGAGAAGGGAAATGTAAGGAATCCTACCTACATAATAACTTAATGTAAGGAATCCTACCTACATAATAACTCAATGTAAGGAATCCTACCTACATAATAACTTAACCCCACAACTGAGACCTACAGTCAGACACCGCGAGCTCAGCGGTGGGGCGCTCAGGAACAATCCCCCTAGGAGCGAATTCTGCAGTTCGAACAACGCTTGAAAGAATTGCAATCGCAGCAACATAGAAAACTTTTCCAATGATCCTAAACCGAAATTAAGTGTTACTATAATTGGAATTAAAACCACGATAATGCAAGAGTATTAAAAATTAACGTTAAGTAGCCATCTGAATTGAACTTTATCACGTGGAATGCTGGAATATATAGTAAAATGTATAATCATTTTGACCTTTAGAAATGCTATACTCGCGCAATAACTCGTTCCGGTTCTAATTGAATAATATACTGAGTAACAATTACATGCAATGGATATACTCCGAATTTTTTTACGTTTTGAATCTACAAGAGCACTGTTAGAAAAAACGGTGAAAAAACGGTCCCACTGGCATTCTAGTGGCCGGTCGCCCCGGGAAAATAAACTGTTTCGCCGTTTTTGTCAGATGTTTTACGAATTTCTAGTATTAAATTGGAATAAAAACGGTGACACGATGTTTCTTTTCACGTGCCGACCGGCCACTGAAACGCCGGTAATACCGTTAACGGTAATTTTTCTAACAGTGAGGTGACTTTCGCTAATTTGCCTCAACACAAGAATCCAGTCTTACTAATTGTGATTTGTTGGCAGCGATCAGACATGCAGTGAGATTTGCAAGTTTAGTAGCATTAGTGAAGTTTGAATAATTTCTCTTAGCTACGTCCATATTCAACAACTATCAACTCTTCTTAGTCAATAATTTTGCAGTGAAAAGATGCAAATTAACGTTGGTCTGTCCAGTGCAGAAAAGATTAGAGTCTGAGCAGAAGCCTTAGAAGAGCTGAGTCATACGATAGCAGGGAGCAGTCACGGCAGGGCACGGTTCTGTGGCTGCGCGATAATCTATCTAGGCTTGTTTATCAAAGAAATTACCATCAAAATAGACTACACTGTTAGAAGAATGACCGTTAACAGTATTACCGGCGTTTCAGTGGCCGGTCGACACGTGAAAAGAAACACCGTGTCACCGTTTTTATTTTAATTTAACACTAGAAATTCGTAAAACATCTGATAAAAACGGCGAAACAGTTTATTTTCACGGGGCGACCGGCCACTAGAACGCCAGTGGGACCGTTTTTTCACCGTTTTTTCTAACAGTGTATTTGACATTTAAAATTAAAAAACAAAACAATTATCTAATATTTTGTTGACATTAGTTAGTTAATATTTTGTACCGAATGTTATCAATGGAGAAACTCATTCCATACAACATCACATAAGAATTGCATGGATTAGAAATGTTAAAGACATATTGCAACCTTCATAATCGATGACAGGTTGACTCGAATTGCACACAATATGGCAAGTATAGCTCCCTATTGCATTAGGCATAAAACGCAAAACTCGACAATCCTAAAGCGGAAACATGTAACATTCCATTCGTAGCATCAAAATTATAGCTTTAACTTGCTGTGGCACTGATAACATATAGTTTCCCTCTCTTACACCCAGAGGTGGACAGTAGCGCGCTACATGTAGCGGCCGCTACATTTTCAGTAGCGGTAGCGGCGCTACATTTAAGAAATTGTAGCGGTAGCGCCCGCTACATTTAGAGCAGGTAGCGGTAGCGGACGCTACGTTTCAAAGTAGCGCTGCCCAGCTCTGCTTACACCTAAAATAACATTTGTATAAAAATCTGAATGTTACATACACGAACACAAATTTTCGGCCTTCTGATCATTCAAGCTTCTCATCAAATGGGATTAAAGGGCTCCTCTATTCACCATAACACCAAAATATGGAAGACATTTTTCATTAACACATATAACTAGGGAACTAAACGTAAATACCGAAGCTTTTACGGCTATAATATCTGAAGACAATCAATGATTTTGAAAATAGTTCTCAGCACGAGAAACAACAATCAGATCGAAATAAGAGGCGCATAATTCAAATAAATAGTTTTCATAGGAAAACTATCTACCTACTAAAAATTAGCGTACAAAATAAAAAAATTTTCTAATTCAGGGTCTCAAAAGGCAACTACTTAGCGCATATATCAAAGAAAGGGAAGCGTGTAATAAATTCTAAGTGTTGATACAAAAAATCAACTACAGAGCGAACGTTTCTTTTGAACAAACATCAACTGCTTTTATAATAGAAGTGTCGGCACTGAAGAAATAGGCCCATGGTCCGAGCCAGCATTACGATCAAAGACCAGAAGCGCTCAACTGTCTTTTAAAAGCTTCTTATTAAACCGAGAGCGGGAAATGATTGTAAACATATAACTCTTTTCTATTTTATAAAAGAGACAAAAGAGCACCAACCACGTTTAGGTGAGTTAGAAACTTGTAGTTTCCCCCATAGGATTCCTTCAGTTTCCTGAAGAAAACCTGCTCCGAGGGGCACACAAGGCTCTCGTAGGACGAGAAGGTGTGGTAGCTGGCCATGGCTAAGACAACGTGATAAATAACCTTGATTTTTATACTACTCATGACGAGACACGGTAATGACGACTAAAAATTTAAATAGAAATAATAATTATTTGTTATTCCCACACTGAAATACAGAACAGAATAAATAAGAAGCTGGTTCACACAAAGCGTCACATTCATGATGAAATATCGGTAGCAGCCTTCAGCATGATTTGATGGCATTGTGATGATAACCAATATTGGTTAACTTGCATTGAATAACATTTGCTGTTCGCAGTTAGCAAAAACACCATACTTAAATAATAGAAAAACTACAGATCTGCTGCAAGTTTTCTTGCAAGTAAAACGCGAATAAAGTTTGTTAACATAACCATCAACGAAAAAATCTTTGTTCAGGAAAAACAACAGATATACATGACTCTAAAAAATGACCGGAAACGACACAAGTGATAAGATATATTCGTTTCGGTGACACAG